TAAACTCATTCTCAACTCTTTCCAATTCTACTTTATGCTCTTTTTGTAAATTTGCAATGAATTCCACATTAGCAAGATTCTCGTAAAACATGTTAAGATATTTCTCATGATAATCCACTATGCTCTTCTCCAACTTTGAAATATGTGCTCTCAATTCTTTATTCTCCTTCTCTAGAATAGCTGCCATTAAGAAAAATGAAGATTGATCAAATATAGAATCTATGCAGTTCAAGAAAAATGATTAAAGAAATGCACTTAAAAAAATCACACAATTCCTGAAAAATCAACCTAAAACAAAAAATGACCTAAAACTCTTAAAGAATAAGCCTAAAATCACTCAAAAATTACGTATTAATATGCTCAAAACACTACCTTAATATGCTCAAGACTATGAATTAAAGTTTGCATGAAATTGCTCAATTCAAGTTGTAGATCCCTCACTTCAAACTAACTAAACAGCCCCTCAAGTTCACTCAAAACACAACATATATCCACTCAAAATTCACTTACTATATGATGCTAAATCATCTACCTCATGAAACTATTAATCTGCTCAAAAACAAAACTTTGAATACTGCCAAGTCGACTCACTACATGCTGACTCAATCCATTCATTGTTTGAACTAAGATAAACAAGGCTGTATAAATCGCATAACACATGAATCTAAATTGCATAAAGCATGTTGTAATTTTCACAAACTGTGCAGGTTAACTTGCTTACAGCCCACTCACCACAAACCTTAAATCGTTTAAAACTTGAATCTACACACTGCCTAATTCAATTACTAGATAAACTGCTCAAAATCACTCTATAAATCACTCAAAATGCAGTCTTATCCGCTCAAGAGAATGAACTAAATCGCTCATTATGCAAACTGTTAATCACTCACCAAATATTGTAAATCGCTCAAGAACCAGCCTAAACTGATCACTAAACAGTCTCTAATTCACTCACAAAACAGTCTTTAAATCACTCACTAAACAGACTCTAAACGAACAAGATACTTATTAAAACGCTTCACAAGCCCGCTCAAAGCAAGATGAAGTCCGCTCAATCTATGGAGATAAATCGCTCACGAAGAAGTGTAAATCGCTTACTTAGTGTCCAAAATCGGTCAGAACCTCACTCACAGTGTTACTAAATCTCTCACAGTCCGCTCATTATGCTCCCTATATCCGCTCACTTGATGTCCGAATACGGTTAAGCCATGCTCCCCAAGTGTCCGAATTCGGTCAAAAGAAATCTTAAATCGTTCAGCACTAAACTTAATTCATTCAGTCTTGCCTTAATCCGGTCAACACCGCTCAAGGAGTGTCCGAATTCGCTCAAAACAACTCAAACACTTAGTCTAGATAATCTCATATCCGGTCAAAGTCCGTTCAAAACACAGTGTAGATTGCTCACTTCATATGTCAAATCCTGTCACTAGTCCGCTCACCAACACAGACTAAACCGCTCACTGAATTGACTTCTAATTCACTTGCTGCACAAAAATGAATGTTTTAACAAAATTCAATCAGAAAATAATAACCAAGATTAGATCAAACAACGCACAAACACAAAAAATTACAGAAGTTTCTCCAAAAATAGATCGAAGTCTAACATTTTGACAAAACTTTTCAAGAACATGAAGAACATCAAAAATTTACAACTCTTTCAAATCTTTTAAACTTTGTGATCAACATGCAAAATCAAAAGATTAACACAGAATCATGATGTAAAAACGTACATAGTGCTCATCATTTTAACAACAAAACATCAAAAAATAAGAATTTTGAGAGAAAATTATGAAGATCAAAGATGAACTTCAAGAACATCAAAGAACTTCAAGAACAATATATTGAATCTTCAGAAAAATTTGTGCAATTCGAGATGATTTCTTCAATCAATCTTCCTGCAAACATGCTCTGATACCAATTGTGAGTCCCTGTTATGATCAATCTACACAAAACTTCATGATTTCATGACAATCTTCAAGTAATCTTGTAAGAACATTAGAAGAAGATTTGAGAGAGAAAGTCAAAGCAGTCAAAGCTCATAAAACTCTCAATTATACGTAATGAATTTACAATGAAGAATCCTTACAAAGATTACAAGGAAATACCCTATTTATAGGGGCAAACATAAAAGCCTAGTCAAAGTCAAACTATACACACAAAGTCAAACACAATGTCTATTTTAATTATAGACAATCTTATATTTCAATACGAATACAATTTTACACAGAAATTCAGCCCTAACAATAAATTTATGTTTTGATATTTAAATATTTTATTTTTCAGAAATATCATTTGCCTTAAAAAATGAACAACAGTTTACTAAACAACCCATAGTTAATCCTCAGGGGTAAATTGGTCATTTTTGTTATTCAGACTGTTGATTCAGATAGAAAAGTAGACAACAACATAAATTTATCCAGACAGACAAATTTATCTATACATGACTTAATATAAAATGGATGGTGTTGTTTACTTTTTTATCTAAACTAACATAACATAAATGACCGATTCTCCCCCCTCCCCAATATTAATTATTTGAAAATCAAAACAAAAAAAATCATAAAGAGGCTAACGATGGGGTGTCTCACTTGGGAAGGAGGCGTTGCTTTAAATAAGGGGTAGGGGTGTCATTTTTGTGGCTGAATGGAGACAACCCACCATTTCTATCTGTGTGATTAAGCCATGTTCTCTGCAAATAATCCATAAGTAAACAACTCAAATGAGTTGTGTGAATAAGCCAGATAGACCAATAAGCCTAATTAAGCCGCAAGTAAACAGCCTCTCAGTTGCCTCAGTAGCAAGAGTTTTCTTTGACAACATCGTCAAGTTGCATGGGTTGCCCGAAACAATTGTCATTAATCTTGATGCCATGTTTACAAGTTGTTTCTGGACTGAACTTTTTAGGTTGAGTGGCAGCCTATTAAGTTTTAGCTTGACTTATCATCCGTAAAGTGACAATCAAACGTAAGTAGTTAATCAGATCATTCAAATGTATCTTCGTTGCTTCACTAGTGCCCAACCTCGAAAATGGTTGTCTTGGCTCTCATAGGCAGATATTTCTATAATACAAGCCACCACTCCACACTTAAAACGTCTCCATTTGAAGTTGTCTATGGCAGAAAACCGCCACGTCTTCTCGATTACTGCCCATGTGTAGCTCGGTTGGATGCTGTTGATTATGGACTGCAAAGCAGGGACCAACAATTGGAAACATTGCATGATATGTTATTGCAAGCTCAGTATCTAATAAAGGCTGATTTGACCAATATCATCATGAAGTTCAATTCCAGGTGGGGGATTTGGTGCTCCTCAAGCTACAACCTTATCGTCAAATCTAAGTAAGAAACTCTCGCCTAAATTTTATGGACCTTTCCCAGTGGAAGCACATATTGGAGCAATTGCCTATCGCCTCACCCTTCCTCATATTTCCAAAATGCACCCAGTTCTTCTTGTTTCGTGTTTAAAAAAATATCACTGCTCCAATATTGACTGCAATCCACAACTTCCTCAAGTTTCTCAAAGTGAAATTATTACAACTTCAAAGGCTACTCTCAATTCCAAAACAGCCCATGGAGCAACTCAATTGTTGGTGCATTGGGAAGGTTCATCTCCTGCGGATGCTTCATAGGAGCTTGCAGACAACTTACTATCCAAGCATCCAGACTTTGCGCTCGTGGTCAAGCGCCATTTGGAAGGGGAATGATGTTAGGGGGTTGACACCTTAGCTGCAAACATATCACTGACAAACAAATCGCAAGTTCAAGAAACCTTTGTAGTGGATGGAGTCATTGTCATTTAGGAGTAGTTATATCATTTTCAGTATTATTGCTTTTTATAGCATGTAGGCCGCTAAGTCCACGTTTATAATTCCTAGTATTTCTCATTGCATCCTTGTATTTGTATTCATAGTCTAGTTGTTGAATGAAATAGGGGAAGAATATTTTCAACCAAAAACTTGTTACTGAGATTAGGGAGTTCTCTCATCATCGAGCTCTCATCCGTTACACATTCATAATAGGTAGAAAGAAAAGGAAATCACAGCAGTCACTCACCAAGGGTGACCGATATTTCATGTTACGACCCATAACTCGATCTCAAGTACGGGGCCACAATAGACCACTTATGTTCATTATTAAGGTATTAAACTATTTGTATTATGTATTGTAATTGTACTTATTACATATTTACTTCTAATTTTGTTATTAATCAACTTCTTAGTCTTATCAATAGATTAATGATTGGAGATTTCTGAGAATTGATTTAATGATGTAAAATATAATTTTATTTTTTATTTGAATCTTGTTTATAAATATTTTATCTTTCCTCGCTTGATCTATTTTTAAATTCAATAATATAAAATGAAATAAATAATACAACTAAAAAAATTATATGGTCACATTTATCTATTAGCACATGGCTCTTTACACTTTGTTCTTGTAATTGCGAAGAAAAAAAAAGAAAATGAAAAGAATTTTTTTATTTGTGTTTTTTGAAAAAGGAAGGAAAGAAATAAAACAAATTTTCATCTTCTTAAATATAAGGAAAAAGAATGAAAAGATGTCATTTTTATCAATATACCCTTTAAAAAATATTATTTAAAATTAAATAATTTTATATTTTTAATATCTTTTTTTTTCTTTCCTTTTTATTTCGGTGTTTGAGATTGCTTATTTAAAACAATTTATGTTTTTCTACAAAAATATTTATTAATTTATTATAATTTAAAATGGTTTAATTTTTTTAAAAACTTTTTATTATTAAGTTGACACTAATATAAACTGTTTATCTAAACATTCAAAAATATTTATTACTAATGACATATTAAAATAAATAAAGAAGTTATTTTTATAAATTACCAAAACACCTTTTTAAAAAAGTTTTCAAAGAAAAAAAAATGGGTAAACATAAGGAAAAGGTCCTGCCCTGTTTGTGTATTTCACTCGCAAAGTGTGACGCACTAGAAAATTCCTAGTGGACTTCAGCCACTACATAACGGTCGCTTCCATCTTCCTTCGATACCTCCGTCCGCATAACCATTCTCTTCATCACCTCATATCCAGTTGTTTCCTGCACCAATTCAACTGCATTCTTGCCTATCCATCATAGATCAGAAGTAAACAACTTTCTTCAATCGGTGTATGATCATTTTGAAATGTCTGCAGCGGTTTTGAAATTTTCGGTCTGCCGACGACACACTGAGGCATCTTCGCTCAGAATTAGGTCAAATTTGAAGCCTTTTGCTGTGATTAATTGCAAGCTGCCAAATATTTCAAGATTTTCTCAGGTACTCCGCTGTAATTATCAACAATCAGGAGGTGTACTAAATTTTATATTGTTTATCTAATTTTTTTTCTGCATTACACGTAGACGTGTGGTTTCTATGGCTGACGCGAATTACCTTTTGTATTTTTTGATGGAACAGTAGTAATTTTATTAACCAAAGTGCTACACTTTTATATTCCAACCTAGTACCGATAGAAGATTAGAGAAGAAATTGTTACTAATTTACCTCAACTAATGTCAATTTTGTAATATTTGCTGCCTATTTTTCATTGAGGAAGTGAAAATTGCTCTGCTTTCCGAACCAAGGGTGAAATGATTTTGGTTTTGATGGAAAGAGATAATGTAATTTTATTGATGCACATTCGAAGCCTGGAAAGATCAAATGGCCGTGAGATGTTCTATAGAACATGCAGAAAAGGTTACGAAAGAGCTTGAAGGGATCTTGGAGTGCGGTCTCCAATGCTGCTTAATGTTGTTAGCTTGATCAGAGAAAAAATTAGATGAGGATTTAGATGTAACAAACTTAATACATTTGTTTAGGCTTCATGCAAAAATACAATAAGATAATTGTGACACTGACATATAAGGAAATCCAGATGGTATGTTCATTGTTTGAATTAACCAAACTTTGTAATTTACACACCATGGTTAATTGGCGACAGAGGACTTATGTGGTGGTTTATATACGTGTCTGTATGATTTATATGTTAATATGATACATATAAACGTGGTCATGATACTATCTATATCTATGGGAATATATAACTTCTTTATCCTAGTTGTAGAGTGGAACATTATGCATCCAGCTGTCACCAAAGGGTCAGTCAAGGAGGCCATCGACAAGCGCAGACTTTCAAATGACATTAGTAGATGAGAGTATTGGTAGAGGGAAAATTGTAATAAAGCCCTCTGAAATATTGGTAATGCAGATGGTTTTTCTTCACATACTTGCCCAGAGTTGGCGAAAGAGTCAATATGCACACTTTGGAGAAGCTTTTGACGAGTACACTAACACTATTACTTAAATCTCTTTGCAGGCATATGATCTTGTTCAGGGACCACTTGTAAGTTCTATCTGCTTCTACTTCTATATACCTTCATTATTGTAATTATTATATTGATCTGTATGTTGATTTCTCAATGTCTTAAAGATTGGCATCATATACAAAATATGTTTCTGATGTAGTTACCAATATTAAAGGATGTGGCTAGGAGAGGGATTTTAGTATTGGTGGATGGCAAGGTCTCCTACCATACAGCATTCATTTTGAGTTAAGCAAGTTGCCTTACGAGAAGAAAAGATCAAGTCTTTTGTACATTTTGTCCTGACCAGGGGAGAAAATCTAGTGTGGTGCATAGATCAACAAGTCATACCTAATATAATTTAGAACAAGATTGAAACTTGTGTACAAAAAGTTCAAGGAGATGCTCAGAGAAAGTAAAAGAAGTAAATCATCAACCTACGACTCAGTGGTGGAATGAGGATGTAAACACGAAATACATACATACAACAAAAGAAATTAATTATGGATATAATGCAACAGAAAATCAAACCTAGTGAGGTGAACCTATTAGGATTTTGGGACATGAATTACGTCCTTCCACACACCTTTATTTAAGGCCAACCCCCTTATAAACCATTCAGTCCAACATCTTTCAACCACTTTCCCTATCTCAACCTTCCATCCCTCCTCTCCTAATGGCCTTTCTTGGGTACAAGTCTCTTGTTCTAACCTATGAATGCAAATCTTTGCGTTCGAGATGAACAAACCACCTAGATTGGTGTTGTCTTAGTGGGTGTCATCATGGTTTTAAAAAGCGTTTGAGGGGCGCGCCTGGAGGTGAGGCACTGGAAAATCGAGCCTGAAGCGGCGCCTCTAATGGGTTAGTGAGCTGTACGCCTCGAGCCATAGAGGTGGGCCTTGAGGCGCCTAGGGTGGTGTGGTGAGACGGAGACGGTGCTGGCGGGGGTTAGAAATTACGGTTTAGATATTGACTTATTGATTTTACTTTTTATAAAATAAACCCATTTCGTGCTCATCTTATCCTAGTTTTCATTTTTTCATCTCCAATGTCTTCGCTAGTCTCCCAATTTGAAGAGCATCACGTACATATATTTTATTCCTCACTTCTCCAACTTCCCATTTTGAAGGGTCTATGGTAGATATATGTGTGTGTGTATATATATATATATATATAATTTCTTCTCCAGTCTCCCACTTTATATATATTTAGTGTATATATATATATATCCACATTGGAGCTTACACCTCAGACCGCCTTGAGGCTTACGCCTCGCCTCATAGAGGGAAAATGCCTCGAGGCCCGATTCCGCTTTTTAAAACCTTGGGTGCCGCATTACCTTTCTCATAGGTTCTCATGTCTACTTCGATAGCTTGTTTTATTATCACACATTTATCTAAAATAAACTTATTTTTGCTCAAATTCTGAAACTGAACACTTCTGGTTGCAAACGCTTTGTCCAATAAACAATAGCATGCCATACCACTGTTGTATGGAACTTAATTTTTTCAATATCAATGAGACTTGTTAATCACATAAAATAAGACTCTAAAGCTTCGTCATTTCAACCACCTTGCTCTTCTATTATGACTGACATCAACATTTGTATTTATTTAAGTCTTAACTGATCTCAAGTAATAAAAGACATTTTTAAATAATTTTTGTTTGGCTATACTAATCACATCACTTGTTTCCTTCTCAAGACATAAATAAATAAACTCTATTTCTTTGGTACCTTTGGATTCTTAATTGTTCATCTAAAGCTCTGCATTTGCATGGCTAGCTGAAATGGTTGCATCAGTCAAAACTGTATCAACAGTGAAAAGCAGACATTATTGTCCTGAACTCACCTATGGCTAGAGGAAAAAGACATTCTCATAAATATCTTTAATTACAATAGTATTCATTGCTAGCAATTACATCTTGTCAAGAGCCCATTAAATCACATATCTTGCACCATATCATGTGTCCTTTAGGTCAAGTACCATAAGCAAAATCTTTATGTCGCTTATATTTCTCCATAAGTTGTCCAATACACCAACGCATGTGTTTTTTTATCTTAAAGACCAAATTAATTTTCGAATGCCATAGTCCAAACTTGTAACAACCCACATTTCCGTCTCTAAACCGAGAGTCCGAGACACATGAAGGGCGTTACGAACCGAGTCTCATAGTTGTTCATATATAAATAAAAATAAAGCTCGTTAATAAAATACGAAAGTAATTAGATTTCAAAAGCATAAGTTTATTTAATACCGAACATATCGCGGTGGATCATATTTATAAAACATAATCTATGTTGAAAGTATGTAACACAACCCTAAGCAAAAACCGACTAAGTGTCATATGTTGTGATAGCTCCCTTGATCTATCCCTTATCGTCATCAAAGCACCCAATCATTAATCAGCGATACAAACTAACTTTTAAACAATTTGAATTTTTTAGTGATTACATGCTCTAAATGTTAATGCATATAAAATCAATTTACAGTCTCATTCCAAATAGAAAACACATGTTAACATACTTGTAATCATAGTTTCAAAATCCGATTTCCACCGGTGGGTGTTGCCACTTTCCTGTATCATTTCGGAGCCCTTTGTCAAGAGCCCGGGATCGTTTTTGCGACCCCCTGCCACGGTATTAACTCCTCGATGATTTGCACTATGTCAAACCTCATTTTAACTGCGAAAGACCAGTTCTCGCTTCTCGGTAGTAAAATCGTCTGTGAACCAGATTTAGTGAATTACATGAACCATAACTTAAAATCACATAGTCAACATGTACTGGGCATGTTTCTAGTTCTGAAATCCAAGTAGAAACCATGGAAAAACATTGAAATTTAGTATGTATCGCAGGTTAAGACAACCAAAACCAAAACATGTAATAACCTTGTCTTTTTAGCTATTGAAGAGTAATTTATTTTTCCCTCTTTCTCCTTAGTTTCTAACCTTCTCTTCCTCTCCCTCATAAAAGATGGGCGTGTGTAAATTTTCTGCTGGAGATTTCAAGTAGAGGAGAAAAGAATAAGGCTACCTATTTACACAAAGAGTTGAGGAGCTTGGAACTAGGCGACTCACCCCTTTATGTGGCCTCCTTCCAAGCACCCCATTCCAAAACAGAATACCTCATCACCAACCCCTTTCCAGCCCCTTTTTTTGTTTGTAGTACTTATAATAAATATTTTTACAGCCCTTTTTTATTATCATTTTATTATTATTATTATTTAGTTTCTTTTATTAATATTTAACAACCCTTTTTTTATTTAGTTCTAAATTAGGCTATTAAAAATCTTTTAGTTGTTATTTAGTGACCTACTTCCATAGTTTTGTTGAATGGTTCATAAGCTTGATCAATTGATGATTAATTCAATTTTGAGTATCTCTCTTATTCTTGTAGATTGGTATTAATGTAGATGTCATTTATGAGACATTGTGTTTGTCCTAAGCCATATTACACCCATCTCCGTAGGATTCTCCAGACCTCTATAGGGAAGTTTCCTAATCTCTTTGTTAAAGCAATTCGGCTCCAATATTCTATATCTACATGCAACATTTTTAGTTTCATCATAAGAATCATTAATCTCCTTACACTACCCTTTCTATTTTCATTTAACAACTTATGAAAATAGCACCTCCATTCTCTAATCTCATCATCTTTGACTAAGATCCATTGGTTCTCATCTTTATTCATTTGATGCCACTTATATCCCTAGTTTTTTTGTTATCTTATTCAACATGTATAATTTACTCTTTCCTTTCTTTGTCCATAGTTTCTATTTGTCATATGCATTATCTCTACCTTCTCTTGCTACTTTCTTAGCTTTGCTTTGTGCTAAATTATACTACTCTATGTTTCATACTACCTTACAATCATTTAAGAATTTTAAGCACCACTTAATTTTCTAGTGTGGATATTGACAAGAATTAATTTGAATCTTTAGCATAGGCTCATGAACGCACACCTTTGGTCAATATGATTCTCTGTTCTTTTTGTGAAGTAACATCTTATGTGCGTCCTCACTCCACCACCAAGAAGCTTTTGGTTGTCTTTTCCTCCCCTTTCTTTGTCTTAAGTTTTCAATGCATGGTGTCATCTCGATCCATTCTATCATCAAACACACTTGTATTATCTCCTTTCAGATTCCACTGCTAAAGAAATGGTAGAAGGCAATGAAAACAGAATAACAAGGTAGAATGACCACTACTCAACTATGAAAACTTTTTCGGTAAACCACCCTAGTAGTATCTTTGGGGACCCAAATCAATACAATTAAAAACATGTTACGACTCCCCCATACACATCTGATGAACGTTATGCGAAGGCTCAACAATGGCAATGTTACGAGTTTGTTGGTGAATTCTACAACGTAACATGTAGGCTCAATCAGACATCTCCTGTATGACTATCCAGTCAATGCCAATGACAAATAAGATTCACTTCTAGCCTTTTATCCTAGAACCATGAGGCCATACCAACAATTGATCCTCGGAGACATTGTGACGTGGGTGCTATAGACTCGAATATATGCCAACTATATAAATGTCGGTTGAACTACATGAGGCAATATAATGAGATTGTAAGGAATCGTTGAGAAGGATTCGAAGCCTTCAATAACAAGTCGACCCATTGACCATGTAAAAGAAAATGTTAAGAGAATGATCTGCTGAGACTTCTTTTTGAAAACCCAAAATATCAAGTTGAATCATGTCTAAAAGGTTTTTGTATGCCATAAGTCGTGTTTTATGAAAGCGCTAAAGGCAAAACATCACCACAAGAGACTTTATGAATTGAACAGACAACCTTATGGTCTAGGTACTCGGCTTCACCAATATAGTATTTTTTTTTGTAAGAAATACCTATGTCAAATTTTGTACATATATTATGGAGTAGAATTTTAAATTCAATGTATCACCTTATTATGTAAAAATTCTATCAGCGAATGCAAAAGGTGTTGTGTTTAAGAAAATGTTACCACTATAGTAAGATATGTGAGTCATGGGATCTCAATCAATTAGACGGGCAAATGGAAAATGCACAACCCCAAGTTAGTATGCTTTTTGTGGTTGAGGCTCTGTTCAAGATAGAAGTTGTGGTAAAGGTCGAACAAACAATATTGAACAACCCTGTAGATTAAATATAGCAGAAGAAGTTACTTGTGCTATACAAGCAACGCTGCCAACAATAATTCAAGACTTGACACCACGGTGAAGGCCATTGGACAGCGGTTAAATATAAAAGGTATGACAAAATGTATAGAGAAATAGAAATTAATGATCGTCAAGAGGAAGAAAATGCCACAATTGAATGCAACTATAAAGAATTCACCAATTTGCCCCCTATAGAGTATTAAGGTAAAAGAGGGCACATAACAACTATCAAATGGATCCACATGTGCTCTATATTTTAGTTGTTATATTTTTCACATGCCCCATCTTAGTTTCCTAAGTGCATGGAATTAACATCATTGGTTCAGCACCTCTTAGTTTCGGCAGCCTAGTTGGGATACCAATTGGGCTTATTGATTACATCTCATCATGATTCCTTTCTAGAAGAAAGGATCGTTGGTGGTGAAAGTTATGCATGTCAATAGAAAAATATGACAAAAGAATTGCATTTGATCTCAGAACTATTACATCAACCAACTCCTTTGGGGAAATGATCCTACATCCCGACCATCTAGGGTTGTAAATGAACCGCACGTAGACGGATGGGGGCTTGTTTGTGTTTGTTTGTTTATTTTAATCAAACAAACGAACAAACACAAACACATAAACAAACTAAATTTTATGTTCATGTTCATTCATGTTCGTTCATTAAGATGTTAAAAGAAAGAGTATAAATAAACTGAAAACAATCTCCATTATTCATCATCTCTTTCCACTCGGAAAACCTAAAAAAATTACTTTTTGTCATCCTTAACTATTACGCATAATACTAATTATCTCTAGTAAATGAATAAAAAAAGTAATCACCATTCATCATCATTATCATTCTTCATGGAAAACATAAGAAAATCACCATTATCATTTATCTATCTCCATTCTAATTTCCTCGTGGAAAAACATAAAAAATCACCATCAATTATCTTCATTCCTCATTGAAGCTCAACATATACAATATCATTATTTTCTTATGACAAACAAATAAAATAATTATTAGTTATTGTAAGAAAAAAACAAGTATTAGAATTGACAACATAAGAAAATTACGTTTATTTTCTTTTTGTGTAGTCCATAGTAACGATGATACCAATCAATTCTACAAATAAAAACATCTAACCATTTTGGTTCCTAAAGACGAAGAATGGGGATCAATAACCCTCACACCAGCACTAAAAACATATTTATAAACAAAAGTGTTGATTGGAATTGCGAGAATATCACCAAGGCATCAAAATATACACCTGACTCACCATTGTTCACTTGTTCAAAAGAAGTGTCTGATTCTGACTCACACTTATAATAGAGTGAACACTTCTAATATGTTGATCATACTGAGCAGTGCCAACTTTGATACCCTTACCAACTCTAGAAGTTAGATTGCTAGAACCACTCTTAGAAGCGGCACTGTTACTCTTATCAGTTGCAGCACTATATGAAACAACTTTAACTACTTTATGAGCTTCAACGTACTTTTGAAACAAGTCATTGGGAGTAATCTGAATAGTTTTAGTTTTTCAGGGAGCTTAATTCACAGAATAAATGGCATTAAAAAGAGAATTTAATCAACTTTTCATTTTTTTTTCTAGGATCCAAAACAACACGATTGATATCAACAAGTTACAAGTTTCCCCAATACAAGGGTTTCTTAAAAACATATCTACCATCTTAGTTCCTAAAAAGGAAATGATGGGTATCAATAACCCTCCCACCAACACTAAAAGCAGATTCAGAAGCAACAGTGGTGATCAGAATTGCCATGATATCAATCGGTGATGTTTTGGATTCTAGGTACAAATTGAAGTTGCTTAGGTTCTTCTTTATGTCATTTATTCTATTGATGAGGCTCCTAGACAAATGAAAATTGTTCGAGATACTCTCATTGAATTATTTGAAGAGTATGTTGAGACTTATGAAGTTGCTAGTGTTGTTTCATATAGTGTTGCAATTGATAGGAGAGGCAATGGAGATTCTAATAGTGGTTCTAGCAATCTAACTTCTAGCGTTAGTAAATGCATCAAAAGTGGCACCTGTTAGTATGATCAACACATTGAAAGTGTTGACTCTTTTGCAAGTGTGAAATGGGACAAACACTTATTTTGAACAATTGGACAATGGTGAGCCAAGTGAATATTTTGATGCCTTGGTGATATCATCGCAATTCTGAATAAGCACTTTTGCTTATGAATATGCTTTTGATGCTGGTGGGAGGGTTATTGATCCCCATTTTTCCTTTTTAGGAACCAAGATGGTTGATGTGTTTATTTGTGGAGCTGATTGGTATCACCGTTGCTATGGACTATACAAAAATGAAAAACAAGGTAATTTTCTTATGTTTTCTCTAATAATTGTTGCTTTCTTACAATAACTAATAATTGTTCTATTTGTTTGTTATAAGAAAATGATTGCATATGATGAGCTTCCATGAAGAATGAAGATAGATGATGACGAAGTCGTATATTTTTCCATGAGGATTGAATGATGATGGTGATCTTTTATGTTTTCCACGAAGAGTGATGAATGGTTACTGTTTTTTGGTTCATTTACTAGGGAAATTTGGTGATTCTGCATAATTACTTAATAATGACAGATGACAACTTTTTTTTTTTTTTTTCCGAGAGGAAAGAGATAACGAGTAATGGCGATTGGTTTTTCGTTCATTTGTGTTTGTTCATTTAGCATCTTAAAAAACGAACAAGCTTATTTTCTTAACGAACACAAACAGAAAATTTCGTTCTTATGTGTTAATGTTCTCTTGTTTGTTCGGTTTAATTTAAACGAACGAACACCATCCGGTTTGTTTGCAGACCTACTTAGTTGAAAACACATTTTTTTTTGTGCTCAAGACATAAAAACCTTAATTTTAAATTAAAACAAACAAAAACCAAAGTATATATACTCTAGTGCTGATCGCTAAGTGATGACAAGGATGGGTGGGGTAGGGTTCAACATTGGCAGGGGGTGACAGGCTTGGGGGGATGTTGGTGGTTGAGGGAAGGTTTGGTGGGGGTGGGGTTGGTGAAGTTTGCTATTCAAGTCATCAATGCACAATATAAAATTTAAATCGAGTTTGGAAAGCAAGACCCTTGAACTTTAGGTTAGTTTTCATTTAGTGGCTTTTAAATATTAGAGAAGTATTGAATGACATAGTGGTCATTTTATCATTTTCTGGCATCATTTTGGCGCTCGATGTTTTTGGTGTTGAGGTGCCTAATTGAAACTTCATGACAGTTTGTGGCCTTAATAGGTATTTTCGTTTGCCTTTTCTTAATATTTTTAACTTATAAATAACAGAGAATCTAAGGTAAGCCATTCATGTCTCCAAAACTCATGGAAGCACACTGGTGTCAACCATTGGTGTGTTGATTTTCTATTTGGTCATATGCTTGTTTTTGATTTGCATGTCACATTCTGTACAGGTTAGATGGAGTTACATTGCTGACAAATCAGTACCTTGTCCACCGACAGCTGTTCTTTTGCATGGCATTTTAGGTAGCAGGAAGAACTGGGGTAGGTGTTGTGCCAAGTGTTTTATGTTGTAAAGTAATCATGCTTGTGATGTACTCATATTTTCTGACAGAAAGATTGCACAGGAGATTGACATGCTTCTGTAGTTATCTGTAGGTTGTGTCTTCTACTAGTCTCCTACAGAGCATATGCTGTATAATCCAGTTCAGATGCCTTAGATGATTATGTTCATAGTTCAGTTGATGTAATAGCTTCAAAGAAACTAGCCAAAATTGCAGTAGTACCTTTAGGAAGATCTATAAATTGTATAAGAGTAGTTGGTTCAGTTTTCTGGCATGGGTATTGTGTGGCAATAGATGTTGTAGATTGTTAACATATCTATTGTTATCTTTATCTCCCTTTACTCTTCTTTCTTTAAGCTAGAAAGCATTGGCTAGCATGCTTAGGCGAATAGCACGAGGCTTTGCTGCCATGAACAATGATGAGGAATATTTGGGAAAAGTAGTAATTTATTTTATCCTTGTATATAAAAGAGATAAAGATAAAATAGTAGGTATGTGTATATCCCTATCTCTTAAAATAGATCATACACCTCGATTATCGTTATCTTTTTCTTCACTCTATACGTTCACATCTTTTGGTTTTTTCTAGAGTTCTACCCAAGCTTGGGATGAAGTCTATGATTTAGTATTTTTACCATGGCTGATATCCATTAAGGGGCCTTTTGCTAAACGCTTACCCGGTAAGTGCTTACCTGGTAATTTTCCTTACCGGATGAACATGACAAGGGCCAAAAATCTTACCCGGTAAGAGCAATGATAAGGATGGACGGTCTTACTCGGTAAGTGAGGGTGATGACTCTTACCCGGGTAAGCGCTTACCGGGTAAATTGTTGCATACAATACCATTTTGATGTATTACAATCTTATCTGGTAAGATAAATTGTAGTGTTGACTCTTAAGAGTAAGCGCTTACCTGGTAAGTATTTGGGTAAACAGCCCATAAGCATACTTATTTCACTTTGTATATCAGGAACCTTTGCTCGGAGATTAGCTCAGGAATTTCCAAACTGGCAGGTAAGTCAATCTCCATTCCAGAACTACGATCTACTTCTAATTTTGAAAATACTGACGTAGTAATATCTAAATCACAAGTGACGATAAATGTTTTCAGTTTTCTGTTCCATTTTTTTCTAGTGTAAAGGTACTCATTCTATACTTAAGCTAGTTTTCAGATGGTTCAATCCAACCGAAATTTTTGTTATTGACTTCTTAGTCTGAAAGAAACTTACGTGACACCCAATATTTGGATGTCAAATCCAATGTGGACAAAAGCTAGTATGATATATCTGTTATTTTTAAGGTGGAGTAACATCTTAAAAAATTTCCATAGAAAAACCAAGACTCAGCAAAGATGTGCATTCCCAATGGTTGTGAAGTTTGATGTACCTGATTTTGACCTATCCAGGATGGAAATTAGGAATATGAATAATGTGCATATGTTGTTCTATTGACAATAAGAATATGAAGTATAAGAGTGGCCTGTCATTTTCATGTGATGTTGTGCAACCTGTTTGTACCACTACTAGTTTTGTAGAAAGTTTGAGGCCTAGACTATGCATTGCTTTTCAATTGCATGGATGGGAGGACAACAGAACCTTGGATCATTCAAATTATTACTTCTCCACTTTGTTGTATTTGTTCTTCTAAACTCAGGAGTTAGTGTTGTCATAAATACCCCATGTAGGCTCTTCCTTATCTTTTCTCAGGTAATGTGCAATTCCCTCACCCACTATATATGTTTGTGTGGGCATAACACAAAATTCATGACTATCTTCATATTTTTTGTTTCTCGGTATTAAATTAAGGGGTTGTTTGTTTGTTTTTTCATTAAGCCATGCATGTGTTAAGTTATCTGTATGGATTAAGATAAATTGTTGTTTGTTTGTTGTGCTGATTATACTGCCTGAATGACATTTTACCCCACTCTTGATTAACTGTTGAATTAAATTGACTGTTTGATAAATGTGTTGAATGTAATTCTGAATTATAAAAATTATGTTAGTTTAACTTGATTTATCATAATGATACAGATTAAATATATATTATCACAATAAAACCGTTTGGATACAATTACAATACATGAAACATCATGGTCTGGATATAATTCTTAAATTTAGGCATTGGATACTAATTCATCAGATCTTGTATAGATATAAAAATAACTCTATCCATATGCAGAGATCTTCTATACAAACAGTGATAGAATTTGGCATAGTACTAGTATCTAAAAGTTGAATCAAAGAAAGTGAAAGCACGAGTTTCCAACAAGGGCCCAGGAATAACAAGGTAAAATCCTTTTCACAAAACAAAATCAAGGTACATCCCAATTCAATGTACTTGATCTTTTTAGCTCCAACCTGAGCCTAATGGTTTGTGAGTAATCGAAACACAGAGGCTGCTGACAGAATGTTGCCTGCAGGATGGTCAAGTTCCTATAGCCAAGGGATGCTTGAGTGCCTGACACTTGTCTCACAGGATCATACTGACACGCAGAGGTTGGAACTCTTGACTCACAGGAAGGTTCCACACCCTCAAAGCTGGTTCTAAATCTTCCTTCTCCAAATTTTTCTTGCCAGCAATACTGCACCAAATAAGGCTAAAACAAATATTTTATGACATGAAACCACACTACATCCATTTCAGTCATAGCAATCGCAGGAACTTGAGCAATTAAACCAAACTAATAGGTTTTAATTGCTAGTCAAGAAACAAATGCATCTCTAATCGTCTTTGATACGAATATATCTTCAATAATCATATGGGCAAGCAAAAGTCAGAACCTAACACAACAGTTCTACGAAACCACAGTTCTACACAATGACAGTTCTAAATCAGTAAAAGCAGCTAGCTAAGAAAACAAATGAAAAACTCAACAAGAGGAAGTGCAAAAAATTAACAAGAAAAATGGTGATCAAAAGGAAGAAATATGTGTACCCGTTTTAGGTTTTATGAGGAAAGCTGGATCTAAGCCTGTCTGCAGATCTATCTACAGTGAGTGTTCTTCACAGCAAAATCATGATGAGGGAGATAAAACAGCAGCAACGACGAAAAGGAAAAGCATTTAAACTCATCCACTTCTATTGCAAAATGACATTAGCAATTGAAAATTTTGCAATTTAGCTTTCAGCTTTCAACCAAAATCTCCACCTAGAAAATGAAATGTTCATGCTTTTAAGAAACCCAAATCAGTAAATGAACAAAACAACATCAAAAACATGAGGAAGATAAAAAACTTCTAAGATTATCACAATGCAAACAAAGATATGAACAAGGAGGGATACATAGATGAAAGTAATCAAAAACAAAAAGTAACTTGTTCAAGGAGCAGAGAAGTACCGCAATTACAGCAGTTACCAAGGACGATGGAGGAAAGGAGCAATTAGCCGCAGGGGGAAGCGAGGCAGCAGCAGACAGCGATGATGATGAGGAGCGGTCGTTTGAAGAGCATTTATTGTAGGGGAAGGTGCTGTTTAGGAAGGGAAGAGGGAAATGTGATGGCTTAATGAATACAGCTATCCCTGGATGGCTGGCCGATTATGTCATGGGCTTACTGAATAAGCTGCAAACAGACATCTAGATATGGGTTAGCAAATAAGCCATTCAGGCCATCAAGCCGATTACGTCAAAAACAAACAACCCCTAAGTCTTAATGTGATAGAATCTTAGGAAATTCGACAGGTACTCTTATCCATTTCATGTTCTTTTTATTATTTGGTTGAATTCTTTTACAGATGAAAGACTAGATACTGCAAGTCCTTAGTTTCTGCTTCGTATTGAATAAAATTAATAGACTAGCACTAATTTATGTTACGTTAGTTATAGTTTAGTGATACTGGTTTTTATCTCTATGTTAACCAATCGAAAGTCAGAGTAGAAGAGCATGTTTGTATATGACAATTTACATGTAGCATATTCTTCTTGTTCACAGTTTCTCTTGGTTGACCTGCGATGTCATGGTGATTCAGCATCTATCACAAAGACAGGACCTCATACCGTTTGCTCAGCCGCTCTTGATGTCCTAAAGCTCGTGAGCACTCTTTTGTAGTTTTAGATCATACATATGCATAAATTTTTTTATCTTAAAACTGTCCCAGATAAGTACAAATTGTTTTTTACTCTACATACACAAAAACATATGTTTATACATGAATTGAGATAAACAAATCTCTCTAGTTTCCTAATCTAAATGAGATATCGTTTCCATTGCTTATTGTTTTCATAACAATGTAGATATTATAAGCCAGCTAAAGAAATTTTAAGTTGAATGATCTTATCTTTCTCTTAGTGAGGATAGAACTAGCAAGTACTCAATTGTTTTTCACCATAAATTATACCCACACTTTGTGTTTCTTTACGAGTTCTAGCATCCTTATTAGGATTAGAGAAGTTTGACCCACCACAGTGGTCCGGCTTAATCTATCTACATGAGTTCACTGGAAATCTATTCTGCTTAGGTTCTTATATGGAGATCATGCTCCAAGTTGATTTCCTGCTCCATGCTGTGACCAGTTTCATCAGACTGTTTACAATACCCATGATGTGGTTTACATGATAATTTATACAAACTATATTTGATGGATAGTGACCCATATCCAGTATCCACTCACAAATCCATCCAACCCTTATCCTGCTGCCCCGTTCTAGTAATTCATGTTCCATCCTGCACTCAATATGCATCACTAATTATACAATGCTGATTACATTATTTGCTTTTGCTGTCATAAGCTCTCATGAATTTTCCTTTTTCAGTTTTTAGTGTGAACATTAACAAAACCCATATAATTTTCTCATGATCAATCAATTGGGTTTCAGTCATCCTTATACAGCTTTGTTTATGAACTGAAGTTAGTTTGAAGAGATTCCTTTTAGTTAATTTTTCTTTTATTTTTTGAAAGAAAAGTTAAATTGACATTTATCTCTCTTCTTTCATCTGGAGTAGCTTGGGCATCTTAGAGTAACACCACGAGTCATAATTGGTCACAGCTTTGGAGGAAAAGGTAATGCAAAAAAAGTTACAACCTTGAAAGCGCTCACATTTTTCATGCTTTTCTACCATATGATTAACTGCTCCATTTTATGATCCAGTTGCACTGAGCATGGTTGAACAAGCTGCAAAGCCACTTGCACGGCCTGTCAGAGTAAGTCCTGATGTCTTGATGGTGCAAAACCATATAATACTGTGTGGGCAACTTTGCATCGCCTATACTAACTTGTTAATATATAAGCATCTTCACACAAGAATCCGGGTTGACTTCAGTGTTTTTTAAACTTGGTGGTTAGATCTTCTCAACTACATCTTTAATCAACACATGTGGCCTCAAGGCCTTACATACTGACTTTGTTTTCACCAAAGTTGGTGAATATTTTTTCCTCATGTTTGGGCACACGTCAAGGAACATGTAGAAAGTTACTGTCCATTATCATCCCTCATATGAATATTTTCTTCTCACACTGATTACCCACTGTATTTCCCCATAACTTAAGGTCTATATCACATGCATCAACTGGTACTCTTCTGGACGTAAACTACTAGGTACTTCTGCACATAATGCAATAACTATAGAACATCATAAGTGGAGTATTGATATGTGATTACTTATGGACTCTTTCTCCGTTCCATTTTTTTCGACATTGGTCCAATTTGGCTATGTTTTGTTAGTTACTATTTATTTATTTATTGCTTCTCAAGGTTTGGGTTTTAGATGCTACACCTGGAAAGGTTCGAGCTGGTAGAGATGGAGATGATCATCCTGCCGAATTGATAACTTTTCTAAGTGCATTGCCAAAAGAGGTGTGTTGAAAGAAGACTCTTTTTTGGTTATGTTAAATTTTAAACTCCATTTGTTCCATAATCACATCCCTATGCAGATCTGCCAATGTAGTGGGATGTTGCAATCTTGATTAATCTCAAAATGATTATTGTCTTCTTCACTCTACAAGTTTGTTCATTGTCATTTCTTTCTCATTTTTTGGGGAGTGATGTGAACAATAGTGACATCTTGGGATAATCGTGAGTTATTAATAATGTGTCATACCCTCCCACTGGCTCCTGGTTGTGATCCCTCTTCTCTCCCCTTTTATTATTTGCCATCCTACTAGCTTGTGGTAATGTGTGTGGAGGTACTCTTGTGTAGCAGGTGGTTTAAGGACCTCCTGATCTCATGCCAGTACTAAGCTTAATTGATTAATTCATCTCATCACTTCACTACTCTCAAGAGACATTGCCAACTCCCAAGTAATCTATCATGTGTGATTTCAATGTTTTAGTGTGCCTTCTTTTTCTGCTACATTAATTGTCTAAGGACACAACAATTCTTTCTGAGGCTTGAACCTCTATCTCAAGTTTACTTAGGTAGGTTTTGGTGCCTTAGGGGTCCCAACCGCGCTTTGCTCACAGATTACTATTTGCTACCATATGTTCTGCATGACAAGATGTCGTATGATAGAGTCTGATTATCGACCTTGATCAGCATGATGTAGTGTGCATCGTTTTAGACTCTTCTTTTTCTTCTGTTGCTGTTTTTGTTTCTATTTGTTAGGTTTTAACCCAAATCAAGTACATTTCCTTCAGGTGAGATTTTTTTGTAAGGTGAAGTATGGCTATACTTTGTTCCACCAAGTCAGATAAATTTGTATCAGCAATCACAAAATCAGGAGATAGTATTGTTCCTATGCAAAAGAGGAAAACAAGTTTTTTTGGTCAGAGATCTCGTAAGAGTCCATAGTTAAAGTATAACTGATATTTCCAAAACTAATATCTACTTCCACCTGGAAGAATAGGATTCCCGTAGACTAGGAGAGTTCATTGTTGCTGGACTTGGGGAAATAGATAAAGTTTAGAGGTAATGTCAGATAAACTTGGTAATTGTGTGTGTGTATACCGATTACAATCAGGGATATATATAAGAGATACATTTACACTCTAGACCCTCTAATATAATTATATATATATCACACTTAATTGTCTAATATTCCCCCGCAAGCTAAGGCCGGGGAGCGACCTGTAGCTTGGACGGTAATAGGAGAAACCGTTGTGAAGGTAGCGGCTTGGTAAACACGTCTGCAATCTGATCATCTGTAGATATAAACTGAACTGAAAGCTTCCGTTGCGCAACCATTTCTCGAACAAAGTGAAAGTCAACTTCTACATGCTTGGTACGGGCATGAAAGACAGGATTAGCTGAAAGATACGTAGCACCAAGATTATCACACCATAAGGTAGGAACCGACTTCACAGGAACCCGGAGTTCRCGCAGTAGTGTTTGAAGCCATGTGAGCTCAGCAACAGTATCGGCTAGAGCTTTGTATTCAGACTCTGTTGATGATCGAGAGACAGTCCTTTGTTTTCGTGCAGACCATGATACTAGGTTTGAACCAAGATAGATAGCATATCCCCCAGTGGATCGACGGTCGTCAGGGCAACCAGCCCAGTCAGCATCGGAGAAGCCAGTTAGGGAGTTGTAAGCAGAATCAGGGTAGGCATGAAGGATTGTGCCTGAATCATGCATGATTCGTAAACCATAGTCAGCAGTGCCTTGCAAGTAACGAAGAATTCGTTTGACTGCCGTCCAATGATTTTCAGTGGGGGACTGCATAAATTGGCAGACTTTGTTGGCCGCGGAAGTAATATCCGGACGAGACAATGTCACATACTGAAGGGCACCCACAATTTGGCGGTACTTGACCGGATCAGCAAACGTAACGCTATCACCAAGAGCAAGATTAGCATTAGTGGTCATAGGAGATGAAGTCGGTTTAGCATTAGACAGGCCTGCGCATTGCAAGAGTTCAAGGATGTATTTCCGTTGTGATAGAATCATATCATGACCCTGACTGGTCACTTCAATACCGAGAAAATAAGATAAGCGACCCATATCCTGAACAGCAAAGATTGGCTAAGACGTACCACTTTGTCAATAGCCTCCGGGTTGTTTCCTGTCAAAAGAATGTCATCAACATAGACTAGCATGTACAAAATGGTGCCCCTGTGGGAGTAAATGAACAAGGAAGGGTCCGTTTTGGAGCCCTGAAAGCCAAGAGAATGAAGGACCGTAGAAAGTCGATGAAACCACGCTCTAGGGGCCTGCTTTAATCCATATAAGGATTTGTGAAGTAGGCAAACATGATCGGGTTTGTCCGGGTCAACGAACCTAGCTGTTGCAAATAAGCTGTTTCGTTGAGATCACCATGTAGGAAGGCATTTTTCACATCAAGTTGCCTTAGAGACCATTTCTGTGTTGCGGCCAGAGATAGAACAACACRTATGGTGGTCGATTTGACCACGGGACTGAACGTCTCCTGATAATCAATGCCTGGTTGCCGCCGAAACCCTTTGGCTACTAGTCGTGCCTTGTAACGTTTTATTGCCCCTGTTTGGTCCCTTTTTAATTTGTATACCCACTTGCAATCAATTACGTTGGAATTTGGAACGCGTTGTACTAATGTCCCAAGTACCATTCCGCATCAGCGCCGAATACTCGTCAGCCATGGCGGTACGCCACTGAGGGTACCCGTTAGCAATAGTAAAGGTGGTCGGTTCGGTGTCAGGTGAAGGATGATGGGTATGGTATGAAGAGGCATTGTAAGGTTTGGTTTGTTTGGGATTAGGGCGTAGGTTGGGTGGTCGAGTACGGGTGGGTTGTTCGGTGGTAGAGGAGGGGGGGTAAGGGTAGGCTGCGGTGGTGGTTCGGTGACTATGGAACGGCGGTGATAGGTGTGGATAAGGGGTGGTTGGGCCGTAGGGTGGTCATTAGGAGGGGTGGTGGTAGGTGTTGTTTCTTGTGGGACAGTTTGCACTGTAGGTGCGGTGGAGGGTGTCGGTTCTGGTGGAGCAGAATGTTCATTAGGTCCTGTGGAGGATGAAGAGGTGGGTGGGAGGTCAGATTTGGGATAGGTGGAGACGTAAGGATTTGGAGTGATTGGAGTAGGAGTGGTTGGAGGAGATGTTTGGAAAGGAAATGATTGTTCATTAAATCGAACATGACGGGCTACGTAAAGACGATCAGACTATGGGTCGTAACACCGATAGCCATGATGAGCGGTGCTGTAACCAAGGAACACACAAGATGTAGAGCGGAAGTCAATTTTATGTTTATTGTATGGACGGAGATGAGGGTAGCATTGGCATCCAAAAACCCGAAGAAAGGAAAAATCGGGTTTGTGTTTGAACACATGTTCAAATGGTGAGGTGTTTGAGTTGGTTCTGGATGGCATTCGATTAATAAGATAGACTGCAGTGTCAAAAGCAAAATGCCAAAACCGTTGTGGAACATAGGATTGAGCAAGTAAAGTAAGAGCGGTTTCAACAACATGTCGATGTCGTCGTTCAACAAAGCCATTTTGTTCGCTTGTATGGGGGACATGAGAGGCGATGGGTGATGCCGAGAGGAGAGAAGAATTGGGAGAGATTYCGAAACTCGCCTCCCCAGTCGGTTTGGACAGATTTCAGTTTGGTTTGAAAATGTCTTTCAACCATCGCAAGGAATCGTTTAAAAGTGGCATAAACATCAGATTTTAGTTTTAATGGAAAGATCCACATAAATCTGGAGTAATGATCAACACATAGCAGAAAATAATTGTGACCATCAAAAGAAGGAACAGGAGCGGGCCCCCATACATCACAGAAAACCAAATCCAAAATGTGCGAACTTTTATAAGTAGATGGTAACAAATGAAGTTTAGACGATTTGCCAACAGAACATGAATCACAGAAAGTACTAGCACACTTATTTTGTAAAGGTAAATGATATTTAGATAACATGGACTTCAAAAGTTGTGGACACAGAAAACCAAATCCAAAATGTGCGAACTTTTATAAGTAGATGGTAACAAATGAAGTTTAGACGATTTGCCAACAGAACATGAATCACAAAAAGTACTAGCACACTTATTTTGTAAAGGTAAATGATATTTAGATAACATGGACTTCAAAAGTTGTGGATGTCCAAGTCTTTGGTGCCATGTGGTGGAAGAGGCACGTGTGGTAGAAAACGACATTTTCTGAACAGGTTGAGGCTAAGGAGGACGGAAGGAGTAGAGACCACCATTACTTGGACCAGTGAGGAGGATAGTTTGTGTGAACTTGTCCTTCACAACAAAGAAAGTAGAGTGAAATTCAAAGTACACATGGTTATCAAAACAAAATTTTTGAACAGAAAGTAAGTTCTGTTTTATGTCAGGTACGTGTAATATGTCTTAAGGGAAAATGTTTTGTTTGGTGAATGAAGTTGTGAGGAACCAATGTGTAGAATGGGTAAACCCTTACCATTGCCAACGTGAAGGTTGTCCTCACCGTAGTAGGCCTCAGAGTTATCGAAGCTAGATAGGTCCGGTGCAACATGATGGCTAGAGCTTGTATCCGGAAGCCAAGCTTGTGACCGGTAATTTGTAAAGTTGGCAGAAGGTGGTTGTCTCGTCCTCATAGGAGCAGGGTCTCGATTGGGGCAATGAGACGGGATATGAYCAATCCCACACCCGTTGCATGTGCCAAAAACAGTGTTTTGATTAGAAGCCCAACTAAATTGATTACGGTTACCTCCTCCTTGACTTCTGTTGTTGTAGTTTCCTCGTCCGCGTCTAGAATCACGTCCACGGCCACGGTTATTCCCAGATCTGTTGGTGTAAAAGGCATGTGCAGGCTATGGCTGAACTTGAAGACCAAGTTGTGACAGAAGCTGTTGAATAGCTTGAAGTTGATCCGGTTGAGGAGTAGACGAGGTGGCACCAGGAACCGTTGAGTTGCGGTTGTTCGTGACAGTCGAGAATGCTTGAGGCGGAGAGATGTCAGTTGCAGATTTCTTGATCATGTAGTCATGGTCTGATAGCAGGCCATGAAGTTCTGCAAAGGCAGTTGGGAATTGGCGACCAAGGAGTGTTGACTTCAGCCCGTTGTATTCTTCTCTAAGACCCGAGATAACCAACATCACCAAATCTTTTTCTTTCATTGGTTCGCCTATATTGGCGAGAGCATCAGCATATTTTTGAGCCCTGGTCAGGTATGCGGAGGAGGTTTCAGCAGGCTTCATCTCTAGTTTAAGAAGCTGAGTTTTTAGGGTGTATTCCCTAGATGATGTGTGAGGAGCGTAAGCACGTTCAAGAGACARCCAAAGATCACGRGAGGTAAGTCCWTGAACGTGTTGGAACGACGCCTCAGAGATTGTAGAAATAATCAGCATCCGTACGTGAGCATCATTGGAAACCCATGCTGTGTAGTTAGGATTCGGTTGTGGTGGGGGCACTGTGGTGCTGTCGGCAACTTTTCCAGATGATGATGATGATGAGATAGTCATCGGTGGACAAGGAATGGTGTCATCAACATAGCCGAACAAGTTGTTTGTGACAAGGAACGGTTGAACCATTGTCTTCCAATAGCCATAGTTGTTTGGTGATAAAGTGAAGCCAAACTTGTGGGAGTTATGGGTGGTTTTCTCGGTTGGAGTGAAAGCTGCAACAGTTGTCATTGGACAGAAGGTGAGGCAGCCGTAGGGTAGCCGTAGGGTTGTTTGTAGAAGACGGGTGCGGTACCTTTAGGGTTGCCTTGTGATGGCAGCGGTAGGGAGACGGCAGCGGTAGGGCAGCAGCCGTAGGGCAGCAGCTGTAGGGCGTTTAGCGCCGGCTGCGGTAGGGCGGCAGCGGTAGGGCAGCAGCCGTAGGGCGTTTAGGGCGGGCTCTGATACCAAGATAAACTTGGTAATTGTGTGTGCGTATACCGATTACAATCAGGGATATATATAAGAGATACATTTACACTCTAGACCCTCTAATATAATTATATATATATATATATATATATATATATATCACACTTAATTGTCTAATAATGTCCAAATTGAAGCTTTGCCATGACTGATTCCTGGGAAGAGAATGGAGTCGTTCAGGAGAACAAATAATGATACATAACAGTAGTTGCTGTGATGTGCTGCCTATTTTCTCTCCTATATCCTATCCTGTCCCCTTCCTCATATGCTAATATGCTATGATACATATAGATAACAATTCTAGAATGAGGACCATGAACACAGTGGCTGATAAAGAGTAAGATAGATATGCAAACACACTGAAGTGAATGAAATATATGGCTTATAAAACCCTCTAAATATTGCACAACATATCCAACACCATATTCATTTGGAGAAACACTTGACTGTTCCAGTGTGTTGGATCATCAAGAGTCGATACTACATTCCAACTTATGAATGAGCACATCCGAGGACTATCATGTCGTACTTGTTGGAAAAGTAGCTTTGCCTTTTTAAGTTCTTGTCATATTAATTTTACATATTTGCAGTTACATGATTATCTTCTTGTTAACTCCTACAATTTTAACTTTTCTATCATGTTTTTTTTAAGGAAGGTCGTATCAAAAAGGGAGATCATCCATGCACTTGTGCGTGAGGGGTTTTCAAACGATGTGGCACAGGTAAGATGTTAAGGAAAATACTAAAACTTGTGCTTTCTTGTGACGGGTGTATTTTCTGCTTTTAAGGCTAAGTTTTTTGCTGTAGACATGGAGCCTTTATCACATTATGATATGTTTTTCTTACACATTTACTTTTGCACCACCTTTGGTATTTATATTTAGAAAATTGTATCTTATTGGCATAAATAGATTCCATTCACATGTATTATTTGAAATCTAGAAGATTCCCTAAGGAGGGATACCTTAATTCCTTGATGTGTTCGACCAGATTTGAGGGCTTGATCTCTTTGTTAGACTGTTAGTAGTGGTGGGCATTTAACCAGCTGATCATTTGCTAAGGAATAATGTTCTTAATAAGTCTCTTTACACTTGGACATTTCCTTGTTTACATCTAAATCTAGCTAATAGGAGAACAACTGTACTGATTGTAACAACCCACCCCAACTTGCATATATAGAACATGTTTCACATAACATGGACTGCAAGATAATACATACCGGTCCCAAATATACACAACGTTACTTGTGAAAGTTACTACAAACTTTTTGCTGAGTTTACATGACTTGAATATAACAAATTCACAAGTTCATGTATTAAACAGCTTTCACAAAACCCAAGTATAGTACATATTCAGATGCAAAAATTAAACTCCCAATCACATCTTCCCTTTTCCTTTACCTTCCAAATGTAACTGTCCTGAAATGCACATTTTTAAAAACAAAATGAGGGTTAGACCATAAGGCCTAGTGAGTAATTCCCGGGTAACTAATTTTACATGGTGAAAATCACCAAAAGAATTTTGTAAAAGTCAAACTTAAAAGTCAAAATAGTAACAATAGTTGTCGCACACCATACTTTGTGATTATCACATGTTCATCGTACCCTACTCAACTTATTGCACCAAACATCAAAAACAAAAGCCACCTAAGTGTCTAAGTCAGCTCACTTTTTGTCAATTGAGGGAAGCTATTCGATCAACTGATTGGCGAAGTGTTATTTGATCACGACAGGGCATACCACTGTCTATAGCTTTAGACTGTGATAGTAGATTTAAGCATATTGAATTTCAAGTTGGCTTATTATTAAGAATAGAGTATTTTATGTTGATGGAAGAAGAGTTTCAAAGGATTATTTGCAGCACGACTATCCTATGAAAAAGAAAAAGAAAAAACATCAGGATTATTTCAAGTGTATCAATACTACATTAGAACGCCCTCAATAACATCGGGATTCCAAACTAAAGGAGTGTTGTATAGAAATTGGTGTATCCCTTCTTCTAAAAGTTTCAGTCCGGTGTTAGACCTAGGCCCATGTGCACCACCCCTACATTAAAGCGCCCTCTTAGGATTGAAAACTATACGTGTTGAACAGAAGTTCATATATCCTCCCTTGTTAGAGATTAAGTTGGGTTTAGACCTAGGATCAAGTCACTTTAGACTCGATGTATTTGAAACCCCCCCTCCCCCTGTTTGTATAGCCCCTTACCTATCGGTGGCTTGCACTGAAGCATATACAGATCAAAATGAAAGAAAACTTTAAACCCACATTGCAGTGAGTTGTTATAAATAATATTCTTCTGGTTGATAATAACTATGGTGGTGATTGTGATATGTAGTGGTGGTATACAAAATATTCTTCTGGTTGATGATTGTTTCTAGTCTTGTTTAGATACTTAACCATATATTTAAAGCATTTTCCATTTTTTTTTCTCATTGCAGTGGGTCGTTACAAATCTTCGGCAGACTAACCCTTCTGATTCATCTCCTGGTTTTTCTTGGACATTTGACCTCGATGGGATTGCTGAAATGTATCAATCTTATGAAGAAACAAATTTGTGGTAATTTCTCCTGATAATACATACCTGTTTCAGACTAAGATAGAACATTCAGTAGATATCTTTTTGCTAAAAAATCTCTTCTGCTCAATCTAAAAGCTCGACTTGTAATAATAGTAAATGTAGGAAATAATTTACTTAAGTGCACATTCATTGCAATGTCCTTTTGGCATGCATGTTTAAGAGCTCCTCACTCTTGGTGTTCTTTTTAGTAAAAAGGTTTTTCAACTCTAAAATATATATATATATATATATATATATATATATATATATATAGATAGATAGATAGATAGATAGATAGATAGATAGAGTTGGGTTCATACGAGAATGGTACCAATTTAAGAAAATAAGAGAATGGCCGAATCACATATGATTTTACACTAACATCACGTACAAAATCACATGTGATTCACGCAACCTTGCCATGCGGCCTTGCCACACGGCCATAGGGTCGCCCGCCTGGCCGTTAATGTAAAATCACATGTGATTTTGTACATAATTTGGCCGTTCTCTTATTTTCTTAAATAGATGCCATTCTCCCATGAACCTATCTCTCTCTCTATATATATATATATATATGTACATGCATGTATCTATATCTATACTATCTTATAAAGCAAATTTAGCAAAAGTCTTAAAGTCTTAAAATATTAAATGACCAAGATACCCTTTATACATTTTTTTCACTTTTTCACCCCTTCTCTCCTCACATGCACTCACCCTCTCACAACCGATTTTTTTTAAATTATAATTTTAAATTTACACTTTATACCCCTATAATTAGTTAATTAATTTACTTTACGTTCTTTACTTTTAAATGTTTCATTTTAAACCTTTATCGAATTAATATACATAATCGTATAATGTAACAACCCTCATATACCATATACATAAAATTCACATCATCATATTCATAATACTAAAATAGTATCATTACAAAACATAGACTATCAAAATGTAT